TAGAAATAAAGCAAAGCATTCAGACAGAGGGAACTGCTTGAATAATAGCTCCAACCCATCTGGACAAGAAAAAATAGTCTTGTTTGGCCAGAGCATATTGTATAAGTAAAGATGAGGCTGAGAGAATATATTTGAAATAGCTTGGGAAAGGCCTTGAATGATGAGGTCTGAATTTGGACTTGATTTTCTAGAAAGCCTTTGAAGGTCTTTTAACCCATGAGTGACCCAATAAGGGCTGTAGAGTGCTTAGCATGGTAAGTAATTATATTTTCATCCTCTGTGCATTAGTGAGATGAAGCCTAGTCTTATTCATAATTGTTTGTATTCCAAGCATTGTTCTGAGTAAAATATTAAGCTATTTTATATCATTGTTTTCAGTGCCTATTTTGTTCTGCCTAACAGTTCTCCTTTTTTGTCCCTTTTTACTGCCCCAAACAAAAAACCCACCTACAGTATTACTTTTGTAATATCTGTGTCCACATCTCTTAAGTGGGCCAGCAGTCAGTATCTTTTTCATTACAGGCAAGAAGAGAGGAGGAGGCGTTCCTTCCAGGATTACACTGGGCAGAAGATCACCCTCGAGGCTGTCCTGAACACCACCTGCAAGAAGTGTGGTTGTAAAGGTGAGATGAAGCTGCTGCCATTTCCACCGTTCTCTCCTCCTGGATGTACCCTTTACTGGATGAAGGAGGTGGTCCAATGTGAGTTTAGCTCACTCTATTGTTATCCAAGTGATGTCCTCACCTATTCATGCTGTTATTCCAGACTCACCTAAGAGTTTTTCTGTTTACTTTTCTGAATGCTGGCCCTGCCAGATCTTATACCACTATCAACCCCCCTCAGCCCAACTGATGCTCTACCTGGGCAAGCTCCCCATGAACCATGTCAGGAGAAATAAAAGTGTTGGATTATGATTAATACTCTTTTTTTTTTTTTTTTTTGCAGTTTTTGGCCGGGGCTGGGTTTGAACCCGCCACCTCCGGCATATGGGGTTGGCGCCCTACTCCTTTGAGCCATAGGTGTCACCCTGTGATTAATTAACAATCTTAAGGTTTTTTTCTCTAAGGACAATTATTGTTCTGCAAAAGTTAAGTGTCTTGGAAATATATTCCTTAAAGATCCATGTTAAGCCCTTTCTTCCTCATCTTTATCTCTTTAATGTCAGAGTTCTGAATACAACATCCTTTTATGAATAAAGAATATAGGATAGTCACTTCACCTTAGCTCTATTTCCTCGGGTTTCCTTTAGTCTTACTCAAATATTAAAAAGCTCTTTCATTCTAACTTCCCTTATTGGTGCTATGATGAGAAGGATTGCCAGGTTCTCATTTTCAGATTGACCTCAACTTGTCACCCCTTCTCCCCAGCCTTCTATGCATCCTACTTTGTTTATTTTTCTACCATAACTGCTAGCATATTTGTGCATTGGTTGAAATTGTGGGGTTTTAAGCCCATACTTACCACTAATGTAGCTGGAGGAAGGGAAAACAAATTTGAAACAATGCCTCCTTAGCAGATACTCCAGATATCTGGAAAATTCTATGATGTATCCCCTTCCAGGCAACAGCCAGCTTCTGGATGCAGAGGTAACAACTAGTTTGCAACATAGCTTTTTTTTTTTTAATCATAGCTGTGTACATTAATGCAATCATGGGGTACAATGTGCTAGTTTTACACACAACCTGAAATGCTTTCATCAAACTGGTCAACATAGCCTTCACGGCATTTTCTTAGTTATTGTATTAAGACATTTATATTCTATACCTAGTAAGTTTCACATGTACCCTTATAAGATGCACTGTAGGTGTGGTCCCACCAACTACTCTCCCTCCACCACCACCCCCACCCTGCCGCAACATAGCTTTTTGACACTCTCAGACAATTCCTCTGTCCCTCTGAGACAGGACCTACCACAGGTTCAGACAGAACTAACAGTCTAGAGCATAGCATCTATTTTTTTTTTTTTTTGAGACAGAGCCTCAAGCTATCCCCCTAGGTAGAGTCCCATGGCATCACAGCTCACAGCAACCTCCAACTCCTGAGCTCAAGCGAGTCTCCTGCCTCCACCTCCCTAGTAGCTGGGACCACAGGCGCCCACCACAATGCCTTGCTATTTCTTTTGGTTGCAGCCATCATTGTTGTTTGGCTGGCCCGGACTGGATTCGAACCTGCCACCTTAGTTATATGTGGCTGGCGCCTTAGCCACTTGAGCCACAGGCACCAAGCCAAGCATAGCATCTATTAAAGTGCCCCTCAATAGCACTATAGGCTCAAAACAATGGGTTCTCTTGCTTTTCAGCCTGTGTCCATCAGGCATTACTTAAGACAGAGAATCATGGGAAGTGGAATTGTCCCAGTCAGCAAAGAGTAGGTCAAAGGTATAATTGGTTTTGATGCATCAGAAAGAGCACAGGGCAGGGAGTCATGGGACCTGGGATAAGTTTTAGTTCTGCTAGTGACCTTGAGCTACTTCTCAACTCTAGGCCTTCATATCCTCTCACACATAGGATTTTGGATTAGATGATCTCTCTGGCCCTTGCCAGACCTGACGATCTGTGAATGTTCAGTGCCCTTAGGTGACTGTGCCTGTCTCTCCAAGTGTTACCTTGCATCTGAGTGCCTGTTTCCTAGCAGCTGCCTAAAAGCTATATTCCTTTAGGGCTTGGCCTGCCACTTGACTCCCTGTGCTAAACATCCTGTGCTTTGGAACAGCTTTTTGTTGTCAGGATAAGTTCCAAGATAAATCTTTAAAAATTAATAAGCCCCATTACTAATGGAACACAAGTCTGCATCTTCATGTCCTCTGTCATTTCCAAGGCAGCTCTAAGACTGTGTTTCTCACAGCTCTGAGACCAGCTGCTAGTCTGGCTCTGGTTGAGTGAGCAATGCCATCTTGAGGTGATGGAAAATATGCTCTGATCAAACGGCTTTTTCTGAAAGATCTCAATAATATTTCTAGAAACAGACTCTTTCAGAAGCCTCTGGGGAAGGTCCACCCGCTGAGAAGCAAGACTGCTTTCTCCTCTACTCTATTTGTCTTCTGCAGGCCACTTTGCAAAAGACTGCTTCACGCAACCAGGGGGGACCAAATACTCTCTGATACCTGATGAGGAAGAAGAAGAGGAAGAAGCAAAGTCAGCAGAGTTTGAGAAGCCTGACCCCATGAAAAATTCTTCTAGAAAAAGAAAGAAAGTGAGTGCTGTTTTGTTTTTTATTTTATTTATCATATTTTTTCAAGTTTTAAAATGAAGATATGTCTCAGCACCTGTAGCCCAGTGAGTAGGGCGCTGGCCACATACACTGAACCTGGCAGGTTCGAGCCTGGCCAAGGTCTGCTAAACAATGACAACTGCAAACAAAAAATAGCCAGACGTTGTGGCAGGCGCCTGTAGTCCCAGCTACTCAGGAGGCTCAGGGAAAAGAATCGCTTAAGCCCAAGAGTTTGAGGTTGCTGTGAGCTGTGATTCCACAGCACTCTACTGAGGGTGACATAGTGAGACTGTCTCAAAATCAATCAATAAATAAAATGAAGATATGAAAAGACAGGTGTGGTGGTTCGTGTCTGTAGTCAGTCCCAGGTCCTGGGAAGGTTGAGGTGAGAGGATCACCTGAGGCCAGGAGTTTGATGGCATAGTGCTCTATGATTGCACCTGTGAGTAGCCACTGTACTCCAGCCTGGCCAACATAGGGAGACCCCATCTATAAAAGGGAAAAATTAAAAATTAAAAAAAATTTGATGAAAATATATCGTTAGCAGAAATACTAGAAAACAAAGAAAACCAAGGCTGGGTGCGGTGGCTCACGCCTATAATCCCAGCACTTGGGAGGCTGAGGTAGTTGGATTGCTTGAGCTCACAGGTTCGGGACCAGCCTGAGCCAGAGCAAGACCTCCATCTCTAAAAAAATAGCCAGGCGTTGTGGCAGGCGCCTCTAGTCCAAGCCACTCAGGAGGCTGAGGCAAGAGGATCACTTGAACCCAAGAGTTTGAGGTTGCTGTGAGCTAAGATGCCACGGTACTGTACTGTGGGCAACAAAGTAAGACTGTCTTGAGGAAAAAAAAAAAAGGGAGGGGAGAAAAAAATGAAGGTATCCTATAATCTCTTTACCCAGACTCCTTAATAGTATTTTTGGTATGTTCTAATCTTTTTGCTAGGTAATAATAAATATATGTGTGTGTACATATGTATATACCTAGAATCACAATTTTGTATGTGTAGCTATATATATGTACATATACAAATATATTTTGTATCATACAAAATTGTGCTAATACTAGATATATATATATATATATATATATATGTACACACACACATATTTATTATTACCTAGCAAAAAGATTAGAACATACCAAAAATAGGCTCGGAGCCTGTGGTTCAAGCGGCTAAGGCGCCAGCCACATACACCTAAGGTGGCGGGTTCGAATCCCCAGCCCGGGCCTGCCAAACAACAATGATGGCTGCAACCAAAAAATGGCCAGGCGTTGTGGCGGGCGCCTGTAGTCCCAGCTACTTGGGAGGTGGAGGCAGGAGACTCGCTTGAGTCTAGGAGTTGGAGGTTGCTGTGAGCTGTGATGCCACGGTACTCTACCCAAGGGGATAGCTTGAGGCTCCGTCTAAAAAAAAAAAGAACATACCAAAAAACTATTAAGGAGTCTGGGTAAAGAGATGTACATATATATAGCTACACATACAAAATTGTGATATTATTAGGTATAGTTTATATTCTACTTTTTGGAATTTTCCTATCAAAAGCATTTTCTAGCATCCTTAAGTGTCTTTCAAAAGCTTGATTTAAGAGCTTGTGTTGCTCTTAAATCAATATTTTACCCTATGATTGTGTGATGCTCTATTTAATTATTTTCTTCTTTTTTTTTTTTTTTTTTTTTTTTTTGAGACAGAGCCTCAAGCTGTCCCCCTGGGCAGAGTGCCGTGGCATTACAGCTCACAGCAACCTCCAACTCCTGGGCTCAAGCGAGTCTCCTGCCTCCGCCTCCCAAGTAGCTGGGACCACAGGCGCCCGCCACAACGCCCGGCTATTTTTTGGTTGCAGCCGTCATTGTTGTTTGGCGGGTCCGGGCTGGGGATTCGAACCCGCCACCTTAGGTGTACGTGGCTGGCGCCTTAGCCGGTTGAGCTATAGGCGCTGAGCCTAATTATTTTCTTCTTATTGGATATTTTATATAACTTCCAACAGAAACTTTTGGCTGTATCTCTTATTAAATAATAAATTGGATAAATTCTTTAGTAAGATTAGTGAGTTAGGGCTTTTTGGTTCTTGATACATTTTATCACATTGCCTTCCAGAAAGTACTTATCTGTCCTCAGCAGTGTATAAGACTACCTGTCTCACTGAATTCTGTCTCCTATCTACTACTTAGAGCAGACCAATTCATAAAACAGACATTATGGTGCAGAAAGAAACAGGGCATTTGTAGCATGATACAGAAAGGAACTAAAAGAACTATGCTGTAGTTTGGTCAGGAAATAGTTGTTCTGATATCATGTCAGATTATTCTAACTGTGGCCAGTTATTAAGTTGTTGGGTTTTTTAAATTTAATTTAATATTTTAATCTTTTTAGAGACAAAGTCTTGGTCTGGCATCCATGCCAGAGTGCAATGGTGTGATCATAGCTTACTGCAGCCATATTTTCCTGCCATGGCCTCCCTGGTAGCTAGTACAGCAGGCACATGCTTCAGCTCTTCAATTAGTCATTTACTGAACAAATGTGTATTATCTGCTTCATATTTGTCTAGCATTGTACTAGTTTTTGTTTTTTTCTTTTGAGACAGAGTCTCACTTTGTCACCCTTGGTAGAGAGTGCCATGGCATCACAGCTCACAGCAACCTGAAACTCTTGGGCTCAAGCTATTCTCTTGCCTCAGCCTCCTGAGTAGCTGGAACTACAGGCACCCGCCACAACACCTGCCTATTTTTAGAGACGAGGTCAGGCAATCCACCTGCCTTGGCCTCCCAAAGTGCATGAATGCAGCCACTGTGCCCACCTATAGGTCTGCCTAGTATTCTAATTAGTCTTTCTCCCTGACTACATACTTTGTGTCTTGAAGGCTATGATAGCTGATTTCTGACCTCACTCAACTATTACTAATAAAAGACAAATTAATGAATGAATATTCTTGACTCATAGAACGTACTCAGTAAATATTTATTGAGTGAGTTACTGTGAGATGATAAGGAGTTATTCTTTCCCTCATTTGATGAGACTGGCTTAAGTTTGAAGGGAGTGGTACCAGGCTCCACTGCTGAATGTGTTTACTTTACATCCCCACCAGCCCCTGCATGCTTTGCTCTAGTAGGTACTCTTTGTCAGAATTATATTAGACATTTGTGTTCTCTTTATCTCCTAAGCAACAGTGTATGTAACTATGGCTTTCTTAAGTGTTTTGTAGGTAGTAAATTTCAGTTAGTATTTGTGAATTGATTGATAAACCTTTTCCTTGATACTTACTACCTTTTCCTTTTCTAGCCCAGGTAAACTTGTGCCTTGTAGGCAAGTTCGAGCTGGGAATCGCTCTGTATCCTACTTCTCGAAAGTTATCCTAGAGAGGCCGGGCACAGTGCTGAGGGTGACAAAGCGAGACTCTGTCTCTAAATAAATAAATAAATAAATAAAAGTTTTCCTAGTGAATCCATTTGAAAACCAAGTCATGGCTTGGCGCCCATATAACAGTAGTTACAGCGCCAGCTACATGCACCGAAGCTGGCAAGTTCGAACCCGGCCTAGGCCTCCTATACAACAATGACAACTGCAACAAAAAATAGCTAGGCGTTGTGGTGGGTGCCTGTAGTCCCAGCTACTTGGGAGGCTGAGGCAAGCCAAAGAGTTTGAGGTTGCTGTGAGCTGTAACTCTATGGTACTCTACCAAGGGTGATACAGTGAGACTGTCTCAAAAAAAAAAAAAAGAAAAAGAAAAAGAAAATCTAGTCATTTTTTGAGATTCAGTCATCTCTCAAGAATACATGCTTGTTTGCTTGATTGATTTCTAGCCATATCAGTGCCTTTTGATTGGGGAGTATTACGTTAGATGCTGCCTTTAATGTCTGATGTCAGACAATTAAGTTTGCAAATTCATCCTAGAAAAAAGGCTACATACCTTGTTGCTGAATATCACTACAGTCACCTTTGAAGTACTGCCCTTGGGAAGCTATGTACCAATACCAGTGCCTATTCCACTCTTCAAAGTAATTTTGGAACTCTGTGTGGAATGGCCATCAGAGCTATCATTGTATGATGTCTGACAATTAAGTTCATGAACATAATAATCAGCAATGAAGTATGTAGCACTTTTTCTAGCTTTGTAGACAGGTCTAGAAAAAACATCTGCTTTGAGATCCAGCCTGAGTCACTCAGGGTTCTACCACTTAGGCAAATCACTTCATCTCAATTAACCTCTCTGACACTGTAATTTTCATTCCTAAAAACATAGGGATAATTATGCCCACTCTGTAGATATGTTGTGAAAGTTAAATGAATGATATGTGCAAAGCACTAACCCAGCATCTAGAAAATTAAGTATTCAATAAATATTTATTGTTATTATTCTCTTTTCTGTTTTAGCTTTTATTTTTGTCTTTCTCTCACACTGGGCTGCTACTGTCCTGTTTCAGAAGTATAGAGGGAATAATTGGACTAGCTGCTCTAGCAAGGGGCATGTGCTTTTCTTAGCAGTCTTGGCGATATTTGACCAGTGACCTCTTTTTTTTTTCTTTTTTTTTTTTTGAGATAGAGTCACAGTGTATCACCCTTGGTAGATATCACAGCTCACAGCAACCTCCAACTCCTGGGCTTAGGCGATTCTCTTGCCTTAGCCTCCCAAGTAACTGGGACTACAGGTGCCCGCCATAACACCCGGCTATTTTTTTTGTTGTTGCAGTTGTTGTTTAGGTGGGGGGAGTGGGGGAGGTTCGAACCTGCCACCCTCAGTGTACATGGCTGGAGCCATAATCACTGTGCTACAGGCACCGAGCTCAACAGTGGCTTCTTTCTAGTGCCCCTCCTGGCCTCTTTGCCATGGCCTCAGACCTCTGAGTCTTTTTTTTTTTAAGATGGACTCTTACTTTGTCACCCTTGGTAGAATGCCATGGTGTCACAACCCACAGCAACCTCAAACTCTTGGGCTCAAAAGTGATTCTGTTGTTTCAGCTTCCCAAGTAGATGGAACTACAGGTGTCCGCTACAACGCCTGGCTATTTTTAGAGATAAGGTCTCTCTGTAGCTCAGGCTGGTCTCGAACCTGGGAGTTCAGGCAATCCACCTGCCTTGGCCTCCCAGAGTGCTGGGATTACAGGTGTGAGCTACTCCACCTCATTTTTTTTTTTTTTTTAGAGACAGAGTCTCACTTTATTGCCCTCGGTAGAGTACAGTAGCATCACAGCTCACAGCAACCTCCAACTCCTGGACTTAGGCAATTCTCTTGCCTCAGCCTCCTGAGCAGCTGGGACTACAGGTGCCTGCCACAACACCTGGCTATTTTTTTGTTCCAGTTTGGCCCAGGCTGGGTTTGAACCCGCCACCCTCGGTGTGTGGGGCCGGCGCCCCACTCACTGAGCCACAGGCGCCAGCAAGTCTCTCTGAGTCATTTTTTTACCTTTTATCTCCCACTGGAATGTATCATTCACTGGAGAGAAGCTCATTTCATTTTCTGGCTCTCACCCTTCTGCCACCCCAACTCCCAACTTTCCTCTGTAACTTTTGAAGTGATTGTTCTTTTGTTCTCTAGCTCATGGATACACAATGAAAATGATGCCACCTGATGGAGAATTGGATTGTCTTTGTTTAGACTATGAAAGCTTTTTTGTGTGTTCAAGACTGAAGTCTAAAAAAAGACTATCTCTTGGTGTCCTTCTATTTAGCTTCCAGGATGCTAGGGCTCTCTAGAGGATTGTTTTTCTTTTCTCTCTTGAGAGAAAGCAAAGAGGAAATATTGTCCAACTCTGCTAGAAAGTACAACAGCTTGCCACTTTAGCCTTGGTTGACTTACTTGATGTTTCTGCGTTGTAGTTTTTCCATATATAAAATGAAAATAATAAGTCATGAATTCTGAACCTATCAAATTATTACTAAAATATGCTAAGGGATGCAAAAGCTTGATAAAGTTCTATTCAGGTGTAAGGTAGCATTATTACTCTACTCATAATAAGCTGAGCCAGGCTTAGGGGGAACTGCTTTCAGATGCAACATTCTCTTATTTACTTTCCCAGGACCCTACCCTATATAAGGGGCAGAGCCCAGTGAGGCTCCCAAGTCTGTGATATCCTATGATAGACTTCCATGGTCTTGCCATCCACAGAGATGCAGCAATGTAACTAAATTGTTGATTTGCCAACTCTCAGCTCTTTGTAGTCATGACTGCCATAACTTGGCAGTGTGGGTCTAGAAAGCTTTTTGCACCCTACTCTCTACTCTGTTTGAGGTGCCTAGAAGGAATTTTTATTTCATCTCCTCTTAAAACGTTGACTCAGGCTTGGCACCTGTAGCTTAAGTGACTAAGGCACCAGCCACATACACAAGAGCTGGTGGGTTCGAATCCAACCTGGGCCTGCTGAACAATGATGACAGCTATAACCAAAAACTGGCCAGGTGTTGTGGTGGGTGCCTGTAGTCCCAGCTACTTGGGAGGCTGAGGCAAGAGAATCGCTTAAGCCCAGGAGTTGGAGGTTGCTGTGAGCTATGATGCCGCAGCACTCTACCCAGGGTGACAGCTTGAGGTTCTGTCTCAAAAAAATAAATAAATAAATAAAATTTTGATTCATCTACTGTCGATTCTTAGCCAGACTATCAGAACATCCTGGGAGATAATGAGAAGAAAAGTAACTTCCAGCTACCACTAAGTGCCTATAATATATCAGGTATTATAGTTAGTACTTACCTTGTTTAATCTTCATAGCATTGTTTGAAGTGGGTACTTATTATTTCCAGTTTACTTAAATGAAATTGAAGTTCAAAAAGTTAAGTCATGGGCAGCGCCTATGGCTCAGGGGTAGGGCACTGGCCCCATATACCGAGGGTGGCAGGTTCAAACCTGGCCCCAAACTGCAACAAAAAATAGCCGGGCGTTGTGACGGGTGCCTGTAGTCCCAGCTACTCATGAGGCTGAGGCAAGAGAATCACCTAAGCCCAGGAGTTGGAGGTTGCTGTGAGCTGTGACACTACACAGCATTCTACCGAGGGTGATAAAGTAAGACTCTGTCTCTAAAAAAAAAAGTTAAGTCCCTTATTGTATGTCACAGTGAGTTAAATGATAGAGCTGGAATTTGAACTTAATTCTATCTTAATCCAAAATTATTATTCAGCCATTCAGACCTTGAGGCCTCCCATTGTATAATAATAGAAACAGGAGCCATGTGCTCCCTAAGAAAATTGAGATCTCCATTTACATCAGCTACATGCAGATCCCAGCCCGCCTCTGTCATCTGGGACAAGTGGCTTTTAGCTTCTCCAAGCCACAGATGCTATCTCATTAAATCTTTACCACAGCCAGAGAGGCACTATTCTTACCGCCTCCATTTTGTTGAGGAGATAGACTTCAGTGACGTGAGATGGCCCGAGATTATAGAATAGCAAATGGCAGAGCCAGAACTCAGATCTAGTTCTGTCTAGCACATGCTTCAGTGTTGTGTTCTGTCCACCATTTCTCACAGCCAGCTCCTGAGACCTAGTGTATTACTCAGGCAGATATACAGCTCTCCAGGTGCTGGTTGGAAACCTATAGGAGTAGGCACCTCTCATCTTTTTCTGCTCTTTCCCTTTCTTCTTCCATAGTCTCTCCATCTTCTTGAAACCTTACAAGGCACTGTAAATATTTGAAGTTCAAGGAAGAGGTTTATGCAGTGCTTAGAAACTGCCAGTATTGGGAGGCACCTGTGGCTCAGTGAGTAGGGTACCAGCCCCAAATACTGAGGGTGGCAAGTTTGAAACCAGCCCCAGCCAAACTGCAACAAAAAAACAGGTGTTGTGGCGGGCACCTGTAGTCCCAGCTACCCAGGAGGCTGAGGCAAGAGAATCTCTTAAGCCCAAGAGATTCACGGCACTCTACTGAGGGCAACAAAGTGAGACTTCGTCTCTTAAAAAAAACTGCCTGGCTCAGCGCCTATAGCTCAATCGGCTAAGGCGCCAGCCACATACACCTAAGGTGGCAGGTTCGAATCCCCAGCCCGGACCCGCCAAACAACAATGACGGCTGCAACCAAAAAAAAAAACTGCCTGTATTGCTTCATGGAAACCTGGGACTCTGTCTTCTGTCCTTTTTTTTTTTTTGAGACAGAGCCTCAAGCTGTCACCCTGGGTAGAGTGCCATGGCATCACAGCTCACAGCAACCTCCAACTCCTGGGCTCAAGCGAGTCTCCTGTCTCAGCCTCCCAAGTAGCTGGGACCACAGGCACCTGCCACAACGCCCGGCTATTTTTTGGTTGCAGCCATCATTGTTGTTTGGCGGGCCCAGGCTGGATTCGCACCTGCCACTTTAGGTGTATGTGGCTAGCACCCTAGCCACCTGAGCCACAGGCGCCGAGCCTGTCTCCTGTCCTTTATATAGGTTTGTATTATTACCTTGGCAGCATGGTATAGTGGATATAATTGGGAAAATTCTTTCTAGCTTGGTTCTTTTTTTTTTTTTTTTTTGGAGACAGAGTCATCCTCTGTTACCTGGACTAGAGTGCTGTGGCCTCAGCCTAGCATACAGCAATCAGCAATCCTCCTGCCTCAGTTTCCAGTCCTCAGTCCCAGAGTAGCTGGGACTACAGGTATGCACCACCATACCTGGCTAATTTTTCTGTTTTTAGTAGAAGTGGAGCTCACTTTGTTCAGGCTCCTCCCAGAGTGGTAGGATTACACCTAGCTTTGTTCTTTATGAGTATAACTTTGTGAAAGTGAAAGATGGTGGATATTCAAGGGTATATTTGATGGCAGTCATTTCCCCTAGAAGCAGAATCTAATAGAAACCAGAATGGAAAAAAAAAAAAAAAACATAATGGAAGTCAGGAGTCCTAAATCTAGACTCAGTGTCTCTGGATGGACTAGGTGGTCTCTAGGGACCCCTTTTAGCTTTAATATCCTGTGCTTTTATTTTTTATTTTTATGTATTTATTTAGACACAGAGTTTCATTTCATCACCCTCAGTAGAGTGCTATAGCTGTCATAGCTCACAGCAACCTCAAACTGTTGGGCTTAAGTGATTCTCTTGCCTTAGCCTCCCCAGTAGCTAGGACTACAGGCACCTGCCACAACACTTAGCTATTTTTAGAGATGGGGTCTCACTCTTGCTCAGTCTGGTCTTGAACCCATGAGCTCAGGCATTCCACCCGCTTTAGCCTTCCAGAGTGCTAGCTGGAAGACTATGTCTCAAAAAAAAAAAAAAAAAAAGCCACTGTGCCCAGCCTGTTCTGTGCTTGTATTTTATTTTATTTTTTGAGACAGTCTCACTATGTTGCCCTCTGTAGAGTACTGTGGCGTCACAGCTCACAGCAACCTTTAACTCTTGGACTTAAGCAATTCTTTTGCCTCAGCCTCCCAAGCAGCTGGGGCTATAAGGGTGCCCACAACAACGCCTGGCTATTTTTTGTTATAGTTGTCTTTGCTGTTTGGCAGGCCCAGGCCAGGTTCCAACCGCCAGCCTTAGTGTATGTGACTGGCGCCCTAACTGCTGAGCTATGAGCACCGAGCCATATTCTGTGCTTTTAAAAACAAAAGCAATAGATGCTTCCTGGGGTTTTTTTTTTCTTTTTTAATAAAGCTAGACACAATTGTATGAAAGAAAAAGCAAAAGACTCCTGTTTTTCCCCCCATTCAGTTTATTTCCAAGGTAACACTTGTTACTGGTTTGATGTGTCCTTTCCAGTGTTCTCTACATTTATTAAATATATGCAGATATGTGTAAATATCTACATAGTATATGGTATGCATATACGTGTGTACATATGAATACACATGTTAGACACGCTGCAGTCTGCAATATATACTGTATTATATTTTGGTTCTTTTACTTGTTCAGGGTATTTTTTCATATCAGTACTTGAAGATTTACTTTTACTTTTTAATTAATGTTTTATAATTTATTAAATGGCCCCCTATTGATTATGTGCTATGATTTTTTAAAAGCAAATATATACACAAATGTTGAGTTTTTAATTTTTTTTTTAGGAAAAGAAGAAAAAGAAACATAGAGACAGGAAGTCATCTGACTCTGACAGCTCAGACTCTGAGAGTGATATAGGCAAGAGGTCAAGGCACACATCGAAAGACAGCAAGGCAGCAAAGAAGAAGAAAAAGAAAAAGAAGCATAAGAAGAAGCACAAGGACTGAGAGAAGAAAAAGTGCAGAGGGTGGTTGTGACCTTGAAAGCCCTGGATCCTAGAAAGACTTAATAGTGAGGATATGGCTTCCCACCCTGTTAACATCACTCCCATGGGAGATGGCTTCCCCTCATGCAACAGGCAGGTTTGGGAACTAGAGTTCAAAAGCAGCTGCCTGAATGAGTTGTTTTCCTTATCACTCCTGGTCCCTTTGCAAGTAACCCCTGCAGCTCACACATTCATTCATCCAACTTCATTCAGCAGGAGGTCCTAGTACCTTCTCCAGCTGTCACTGCCAGAACTGGATTCCTACACAGGAGTCCAGGCTAGAGCCACAGGGACTTCTGTGGAGGTAAGTCTGGCTGTAGTTGGAGACTGATTAGCCCCTTTCTATTAGTCTTTCTGAGCTGATTGGTGGGTGTTCTCTGTCACATCCAACACGGGGCAGAGGGGGCAGAGGGAGAACATGTTAAGTGGTGCTTAACTCTTTTCATCCCCTCCAACTTGGTTCTGCTGTGCTAGAAGTGACAGCAGTGGCTACAGCCAGAAAACAATCATTTGCAGTATGACTTGGCTAGTATATGACATTCCAGCGGACCACTGAACCTGACAGCTGAAACCAAGATCATTGTTCACTTTGTATTTACTGCTGTGTGAATCAATTGATTCTACTTCAGCTCCCTGCTTAAATTCCTGGCACTAAATGGAAGTGTGTTTGGTTTTAAACTTACTGAAAATTCTTATCCCTATAATCCTTCTTTCTGGGTAATTTACAGGCTTAAAGCCACTAAGCTGCATTAGTAGACAGAAAAATAGTTAATGTGTTACCTCAGACCTTGGAGAGAAGCCAAGCTCAAGAACAGAGCCAGAGGCCCTCACAGGTCACAGCCTTCTTGAGAGATCACTTATAAGCCCTCTGCTCTATGTGATTAGACCTCTTCCCCTAGGGTTGATTAGGGAAGGAGTAAGAATTTTTAACTATGAATACTAGGCTGGTGCACAGGTGGGAGCTCAGCAGTCATCTGAGCCATTGGTCATTTTCTTCCACCATCATGGCACAAGCCTGGGTCCTAGGTCTTAAGCCTGCATTCTGGAAAGGGCGAGACCACAGCATTTCACAGAGAAGAGTCAGACCCAAGATTATTCAATGCAAGTTTAGCTACAGTTCCATACCCAAGCCTGGGCATCCCCACCACTGACTGGACTAGCTCACTTGACCATGGGGAAGGGCAATGTAAAGACCCAGTGTGTATACAGCTGTTTCATACTGAATATGCGAGGGGGTCCGCTGACTGCCAGTCCTGGAGATTCCCTTTCAGTCTTTCAACCAGTGCTTCCTCCCGAGTTACCCTCAGGGGAAACTGAGACTCCCAGAGTTATGTTACCAATGGCAAAAAAGCAACTGAGTGGCCGTGGCTCTGCTTTATTGACCTCAGAGCACCCTTTGAAAAAAAAAAAAACCACACACACACAATAGGAACTGGAACTGGATCCAGGCTGGTGGCACCTGACTCCAGAAGAATCCTTCAACCAAGATATATTTATACAAAATGCAGAGGAAAAAAATGAGGCAATGTGGTTCTGAGTCGAGGGTCAGCCGATCAGCAGCAGTCAGCGAAGGCATGGGCAGGTCATGCCTCTTTCTCGTAAGTGCGAGTGCAAACTACACTACCGTGGGTGAGCGTCTGAAAAGAAAGACAAAGTCAGATGGGGAGTGGAGGCAGGAAGGCAGTCAGGAGCACTTTCCACTCCCTTCTTCCCAGTAATTGTCACTTGAATACCTACTATGTGCCAAGCACTTTACATAGATAATATAAATACATAAAAATACAAAACATCTGTATTTTTCCCTGATAAGTACAGCAAATCCTTTTTTTTCTTTTTTTTTGGGACAGGGTCTCACTTTGTCACCCTCGGTAGAGTACTGTGGCATCACAGCTCACAGTACCCTCAAACTCTGAAGCAATTCTCTTGCCTCAGCCTCCAGAGTAGCTGGGACTATAGGTGCCTGTCATAATGCCCAGCTGTTTTTTGTTGTTTTTTTTTTTTGAGACAGAGCCTCAAGCTGTCCCCCTGGGTAGAGTGCCATGACATCACAGCTCACAGCAACCTCGAGAACTCCTGGGCTCAAG